TACATAAAAATGAATAAGATGATAAATCTAGAGAATAGTTCAGCTATAACACTCACTACATGCACTCCTACACAACCATACAATAGGATGGGATAAGATGACAGTTTTAAAATCTAATGTAGCAGCAGGGTGGAGGGAGAGATTGATAACAGAAGCTTTGTTTATCAAATCAACTGAGGAGTATACGTGTAATAGAGATTATTCAACACCTGTCCCTGATATCCGGAAAATTCTGTTACTCCTACGACGACAAATAGGAGAAGACAAAGAAAACTATAAAACTCAAGTTTCAAAGTCGTGTGATTACAATTGATATGATTATGAACAATAAATCTGGTTTGAAATTGTGTCATCCAGTAAATAATAATAATGGTAATAATGGAAATAATAATAATGATAATAATAATAATAATAATAATAATAATGGTAATACGGAATGACCTTGGCGGCCTGTTTGAATAATTTTGGGCTACCACATTCCATGTACATTTTGCATCTATTTACTCGTATTTTATTGGTATTTACATATCACATTATGCATTCTAATCGTATTATCTACTCCCGGGATTTTATAAAACGTTTTAAACCCAAAAACTTTCATATTTGCAATAAACTCAAGAAAAAGCACCATGGAGGTTGGCAGCGTGCCTTAAAATCTACACCCATACATCACACCACTGTTCCAGTTATCATTAGTACCAACTGCCGGTCCCTGCCTAACAAAATTCTGGATTTTCAGTCTCTGTTGTCTTCTAGTACCTACCACAATACTGGTATTGTCACTCTGCAAGAAACCTGGCTCCATGACTCATACGATGACAATATTGTGTCTCTAAACAATTTCAATGTTTTTCGACAAGACCGTGTTTGTTCCAAGAAAAAGTGTGGTGGAGGTGTTGCAACTTTTATTCACTCAAAATGGTCCATTTCAAACAAAGTTTGTTTCAAATTCTCGAATGACTTCATTGATTGCATCACTGTGAGATGTCGCCCGAAACACCTTCAAAATACAAATTCATTTATATTTCTAATGTTTATGTCTCTCCTGGCTGTACCATATTGGATTTATCTATGTTCGCCGATGAATTCACCGCTTTTGCTGCAGCTTGTTTCGAGAACTCTTTATCAATAGTAACTGGCGACTTCAATGGAAGCGATTGCTCCTTCCTTATATCACTTGGTCATGACAATATTGTCAACTTTGCCACCCGTCTTGGTAAAAAACTGGATCTAGTATTCATTAATGATGTTGGCATATATGAAGCTCGCAAACGTGCTCCTCTACTTAATTCTGACCACTGCATCATACGTGTGCTGCCTAAAATATATTCCAAATCACACAAAGGTGTCCTCTCTCACCTCTACAGTAAAGTTCAACGGAGATGCTACTCAAAAGACAACCTAGACAAGCTCAGATGCATGTTGAAAGACACTAACTGGGACTTATTTACAGAACAAACATTAGATGAAACAATCACAAACACTACCGATTATCTTAAATTCTGTTTCGAAATATGTTGTCCTAAAGAAACATTATTCATTCGATTTGATCGCTTATCTTCGCCATATCTCAAAAAGCTACGTAGAAATAAAGAACTGTTGTTCAAAACTAATGATAAGCCTGGTGTAAAAAAGTTAAACATTCTGATAAAACTGGAAATAAAAAGACTAAGTGTTTTATATAATCAAAGATTTTTGTCATGTAAAACCCCTTCTAATTTATGGAAACTTTTCAAAGAAATTACTAACGGTAAGCGATGTATTTCTGTTCCATCTCTTAATGTTGACACTCTTAATAAATCTTTCATACGCTCTTCTGTTGATACCCTTCCAAATGATACAAATCATATTGACAATAACTTTAGTGGTTTTAATACCCTTGATGTGCTTAAATGTCTCCGGTCTCTTAAGCCTTCTCAAAGCCTTGGTCCTGACGGCATACCTGCCATTGTCCTCAGGAATTGTGCTGATATTTTGTGTTATCCTCTTACTAACATTTTTAATGCCTCTTTTTCCGGTAACGTTCTACCTTTTGCATGGAAAAACATTAAAATTATCCCTATACCAAAACCATCTTCTGGTTCTGATATTAAATTTCGGCCTATTGCAATTACTTCCCCCTTTTTAAAATTGATGGAAAAATTACTTTTACTTCGTCTTGAACCCGCTTTGAAACCTTTTAATGATCCTAAACAATTTGCATACAAACATGGTAGAAGTACCTTGGATGCTGCGGTTGTCTTATATCACAATGTTGTCTCTTGTTTAGACAAAGGTGCTAAATATGTTCGTAGTGCTTTCTTAGACTACACATCTGCTTTTGACTCTGTACCTAGGGGCCTTTTGTTAAATAAGCTATCGTTGACACAAACAGGATCCTGGGCTAAGAGTTGGTTGCATTCCTATTTTTCTGATAGAATGCAGTATACTGTATATAACGGCAAATCTTCTACCTCGCTTACAAAATCCGGTGTTCCACAAGGTGCTGTCCTCTCTCCTTTTCTTTTTTCTTTCTTCCTACATGACCTACCTCATTCAAACGAAACTAACTTTGTCAAATATGCAGATGATCTGACTGTATCACTGCCTATCACTTCCGAGTCTGACAGCTCCAAACTTAATAGCTTTCTGTTGGACATCAACAACTGGTCCAAGTCAAATGGTCTTATATTAAATCCTTCCAAATGTCAGGCGCTTGACTTTACTTTCAAGCATCGACGTGACTTACTTGAACTAGTTAACTCTCATGATCCCTGTAGCATAGATGGCACGGAAATTGAAACCAAATCAAGTATTAAATACCTTGGACTAGTTTTTTCCTCTGACCTTTCATGGTCATCCCATATCTTATCTATCTCTAAGAAAATGTTTCGTCTTACCTTCTACATTAAAAAGTTAAGACAATCAGGTATCAACCAACCTTTAGTTTTGCAATTTTTAAACTCCTGTATTTTACCTATTGTACTCTATTGCTCTCCATTAATCTTTCCTGGGCTGCTCAAAAAAGATTATATCATATTACGAAGAGTATTAAATGCTGTGAGTAGAGCTTGTGGTCTGCCACTGCATGAGCTCGCTAATACTATAGTCGAGAGGCATATAAATTCCTGTACGAAATGGGCAAAGGCTATAATGTCAGACCCTCTGCACCCCCTTTATTCACACCTGTCCCCTTGTATCTCATCAGGTAGGACGAGAAGTCAATATAAAAAGATATATGCTCGTACTACTAAGTATAGAAATTCTACAATACCCTATTTAGCGCGTACTTTATGTGACGAAGACTCTGTTAGACGTGAAACTTACAAGTTACTATGTAATTAGCACAGTGAATCGACCCTTTTATCGTTCATCTTTCTGTATTTTATGGTGTCACACTTTCTATCGTTTAAATCGTTACTCTGCTATTTTATATTAGTTGGTATTACTATTATTACTACAATTTTGTACTTTATACATATTTTTCTCCGTATGGCACACAGTATTTTGCTACGTAGCTGCTATAACAATCGTTTTATTACTATTATGTATTGTGTATTTTTAATTTTTTTTTGTCGTTTTTGAGTAAATTAGATGCAATATTGTACTGAATGCTGAAAATTCCTTGCTGTATCATGAGTACTGTTTTTGGAATAAAGCAATTATTATTATTATCATTATTATTAATATTATTACTGTTACACTCTGTGATATGTCTAATAAACAAACTAACATTGTTATTTTTACTTGTCACTCTAGGTTGAACTTACTTCTAGTCTATCTATCTTATTTGTTAGATTATTTCTCCATAGTATTCGCATACTGTTATTCTCTCGTGCAACTGACAACACTCAGCCTTGAAACATGTACTTTTGTTGACTATATATGTATGCACAAACACATATCATTGAATTATTTCATCTCATGTTCTTGTTGACCATGCATATTCTAAATAATAATCAAGACTAACTAACTAATATTCCATACTGTCCTTTTTCCAAAATGCACTTTAATAATAATAGCTTTATTCTGAACAGTTTATAATTTAATTCTAATTTACCTTTACTGGTTATTTATTGTAAGCTAAAATGAGTGAACTTAAAGTTTATACGGATTGATATCAGTTAGAGAAACACTGAAAACCAACAGGGAGTACTGGACATCTGTTTCATCCTAGTTTTGAACTCTTCAGGAGGACGCATCCATCAGGGTTCGAACCCAGGTCCTTCAGGTTACGAGGCAAGCTGGTTGACGATCATTCAGCCACTGGGACCCAATTCAGTGGTCAGCCCATGAATTGTAACTTCCATTCAATTCGTGATTTTAGCCCGACTGGTACCAACCAATGTCATCGGCGGGAACTCCATGGACCATTGAATTGGGTCCAAGTGGCTGAATGGTTTACAAGCCGGCTTGTCTTGTAACCGGTAGATCTTTGGTTTGAACCCCCTGGCGGTGGGTGGGTACTGCCGATGATTCCCAAACTAGGGGGATGAAACAGCTGTTCAATACTCCCTTGCAGTTTTGAATGGTTCCCTCTAACTGATATCACTCCGTAGTCAAACTCGCATAGACAGATCTGATCCTTACAAACTACACTCTTGAGGACTTACAGTTGTACAGCCTGAAGAATTTATTGAAACCACATTTGTCCACTCTAATCATTTGTGTACTGAATATATATATATATATCCTACCGTATATGAATAATATTTTTGAAATAACGGCTAGAATACTGGAACCATCTGGCAAAGATACAATACATAATAACTAACGTCAGTGGCATAGCGATTAGGACGCTCGCCGACCATGACAATGGTCCAGGGTTCAATCCCCGGCCGCCCAACGCATTCCTTTACCTCGCTAAGCCAGAAATAATGCTGATAAAGAGAAAAGGTTGGGCATGAGTCTGGCTAGCAACCCCATCCTGTAAAAATTGAACACTGCTCCAGAAACTTCAAGCCACTAGCTTGAAGCCCTATGTTCCACTGGGGAAAGTGAAGGAAAAAAAACATACTCACCTTATTTAGTAAATCTTATGCAGACCAAAAGGCCCATCTAACAGCGAAAGGAGACAACATTAACACAACTGACAAAATAAATTGCATGAACTGGACTAAGTAGTATATTGGTCAACCTTCTTCGACTCCCAGTTCAAGATCATAAACTAGATGTGGATATACACGATATGTATTCTTTCATTTCGCAAAAAATATCAAAACTGCCAGGGAATTTCTAGAAACCTGGTACTCAGACGAATCAGTAATTAACAAATATACAGATGAGATTTACCAATATGCAAAGAATAAATCACATCACAAAAAGCGCCAAATTTCAAGTCAATAAAAATGATCACTCAAGGCATAAACTAGTAGCTAATCACGACAAAGGTTGTCAGTAGGGAGATATAATTATATCACATTCTTGGAGAATTCAAATAAGTTCACTTCATATTGAAGATTATGCACTGATGATGATGTTTAGAAAGACAATGACAATTTCGCAATTAAATCATCCGGGGGTTAGCTCAGAAAACATATCCACATCACCCATACATAATACATATAATCCTCAGCTGAACTACCTAAATAGATGAGAAATGGATTGGAAATATTCCACAATGTCCCCATTGTAAATGCAATCCGATTGTGTACTGAAAATTTAACAAGTTCCACAGGATAGAAAATGCTGAGTGTTTCATTTCATCACACTACTAAATCTTATTCACTATGCTTGTAAATGTCAACAGATTGTGCAGCCAACAAAACCGTGGTCAAATCATTAGCTTTGGTGAAATTAACCAGAATTTATGAATCAAAAGCGAAATAAGCATAAAAATGAAGCCTTACCCACTAGTCGTCTATATTTAATCAATACAATGAAGTCTTATGAAAAGTTGACCATAGCCCAGTCACGTGAGAAAAGGTCTGAATTCTGATTGGTCGACTACAGGTCAAAAAAATCAATGGAAATGAAATCTAATCCGTGATTGGTCATCTGTGTCTGATAGGTAAACGTGACTTGTCGCAGGTTAAGCGAAGTGTGTATAAGCAGATAGGTCATATGTTATCAATCACATATCCGTACTGGGATATGACAGTTTTTCTCGTGGCGATCCACCGTTTCGCACAGCCCTAAATTGACATGTACATGAATCACACAATTCTCAATGAAGAGACTTTTCAACGAATTTATTATCAAGCTGTATAATCGAATATATATATATATATATCAAATCGCGAGTTCACACCACGGTAGTCCCTTCAACTATTAGCTTAAAGAGACCGGCAGAATTTTAAACTGTAGACGAACTTTATCACAAAGCTTCGCCAAAGATAGAGTGTGTATCTCTTGTTGGGAATATTCTTTTTTGTTTCTCAGGTACTTCTTATGGTTGATTTTGGTTACGTGATTTTGTGTCCTACAGTCCTTTAAGCACCACTAACTACCAATCAGCTAATGACCTTGAACTCACCAATCACGTAAAAGAGGCATTTTTCTGCATGGCATACATATATTTATGAGAAAAGCATATAAACTGCATAAAACTGTTACAGTGAATGTCTGTCTCTGACATGTGATGAAGAGATCTTCCAGTGTTGCATAGAAGTATCAACTGAAACGTTACACCACATTCTGTAAATACATTCATCTGAATGACTAGAAATGACATCCTTTGAGGCCCTTATCCTGTTTTTTTCAACCTTCCCAAATGCCTACTATGGAATTGGTATGTGTCTCTGCAAAATCGCTAGAATGGTGTCATATAAGCCGATCACCTAAACATTCATTGCTCATTCAAGACCACGGTTGTATTTTTTCTTCAATAAAACAGTTTTACCCTCATGTACGATGGCAGCTCTTCCTAATAAGGAAGTAAGCCTCTCCACTTTTCAGGATGCGATATCCCTGCAGCGCTGATACCACTGAACTGTTGAGGAGAGACTGTTTTCTCTGTTTCAGCAGCTGTTTAAAAACCCATTAATTACAAATATACAAAATCTTGGTTAAGGGCAGAAGGGACCTGGCCAAAAATGTTCCTTGGAAATATTAAAACCATCAGCTTACCTTCCCTGACACTAACTCGTCTCAAACAAATTGCACAACGATAGACATATCCATCAATCGACCTGCTGAAGCATTTTATACTCATGACACCTCCACATGAAAAAATCTTTTCCTTCCCAAGCAATCTCACATCCAAGCAATACTGAAAAACCTTAACCTCACCAAACTTAAGCGCAAAAGGATTTAGAGCAGGTACGTAATTCACCAGAAATATTGGCCACAGCACTCATCACTAAACGTTGAATGCTGACCCTCACTGTTTAAGTCGGCTTGTTTATCTGGAGGCTTATGGTCAAGCATCCCCGCTATATGGTACGCTGTCGTGTTACGTTCGTTCGTGCACGATCTCTAGCTAGTTAAGCAATCAACCTTGCACTACGACTTGGTCCCGAAATATATTTCGCAATGTAGAGGATCACTTTTAGTGTTTTGCTTTGCCTTTGGTCTACAGGGAACGAATACTATGGAGGTTGTGGTATACATCTTCCTATGCGTGAACGTTGACACCGTCAGCCTCTAAACCGTCGTGTAATAAAGAAAAGTTGATTGAGTAAGGCAATTCCTCCTTCATATTGCACCGATTTGAGTTTTCTGGGGGACTTCATTCTGATCCTGCTGCGCTTCTGGCTTTTATTATCTTTGTGAGCACTAAGATTTCCGCTTATATTGGACGATTCATGTTTACTATCAGTTTTATGGCTGTTGGTGCCTCTATTTCGGGACAAACTGTAGGCAGTAGTTGATTCAAGAATTCTTTGGAATGATTGGCCGATTGCTGCCGTCCTTGATTATGTTTACGTCACTACCTTTCATTGGTGGTTTCATCTGTGATGACCTCTTCCTTGATGGTACCCTAATTATCTTCTAAGTGTTCTGAGGTCTGTGTTACCTACAACGTGTTCTGCTTCAGGTATCGCTACGTTGCAAAACTGTCTCTTGTTTTGCCTTTCACTCATCGTTACCTCTTTGTTCACTACACTGTAGATTGAACTTAGTTTCTCCTTTTTTTGTCCATCCTTGCACTGATTCATCTTACGAATTACCGTTCTCGCCTCCAATAACTTCCACTAGTCCGAAGGGTTTTGGTTCTTATGCTGCCTATTCTTCCTTAAGACAATTATACATGTTTTCAAGTATTGGTTTTGTAGGGATTTTGTTTGATTGCATGGAGGATTTAATCATGAGGTGACATCAGTTAGAGAACCACTGGAAAACCTGGGAGTACTGGACAGCTGTTTAGTCCTAGTTTGGGACTCTTCAGCAGTACCCACCCACCGGGATTAGAACCCGGGACCTTCTGGTTACAAGGCGAGCTCGTAGACCATTGAGCCACTGGGACCCGATCAAGTAGGGTACAGCAGGTTGAAGATGAGGCAGTAACTCATCGAAAAAAACATTGCGAAGTGGTCGCGCTATGTCGTGAACTGACAGAAGTTAGAATTCAAGGACCATTGGATCGGGTCCCAGTGGCTCAATGGTCTACGAGCTCGCCTTGTAACCAGAAGGTCCTGGGTTCGAATCCCAGTGGGTGGGTATTGCTGAAGAGTCCCAAACTAGGACGAAACAGTTGTCCAGTACTCCCAGGTTTACCAGTGGTTCTCTAGCTGATATCAGCTCATGATTAAATCCTCCATGCAATTATACACGTCTCTTTAAACATCACCTTTAAAGAGTTCCAATTTTTTTCTCGATCCAGGTTTCCTGAGTCATATAGGGAAGAGTATTTGTTTTCTGGCTTTAATGAGAGGAAGAGAGACAGTTGTTGACATAAAGAACTACCTTAACGTCCTTACAACCACTGAAACCAAGGAGCTTGGTCCAAACCACAGACAGGCTGTGCTTCGGTGTTGGTCACAGCGGTTCACCTCAACCTACACTTGGTTCAGCACTTATTATAAATATTGTATATACTGGTTTTATTATTCATTGTTCACTGAAACTTGGTGATTCTTACACACTAATAAATGAGGTGTCGATTATTTAATGAAGTTTGTAAAGAGATTAATTCGTTCAGTTCTATGTTTGTTTTAACAGAATTTATAGGTGAGGGGAGTTAGTACTACAGACTGAAGATATTGACCAGCTATGGCTGACGATATACGACATACTACCGAGTTCTTGAAATGTATCAAATTAGTAATGGACTATAGTTTGGACTCATTTATACCAGTGTATTCGAATAGCCTGCCGACTATCTTATACTATCACACAATAGCGACGTGTATTAGAAGTGAGTCATGTAAACGAGTTGACAGTCTGTAGATTGCGACTACCAATCAAACTACATATCTCACTCCAAAATGGAATATCCAGTACTGTGCATTCCTATATCATCTCCTGATAACACAAATTCATTTACCATGATATTGACTGGTTTTTATGGTTATATCTGACTGCTATTTAAATTGTATACTCTGTATGAAATGACGCTTTTGGTAGGATGTATGTAAGATAAGATAATGGCTTTATTCCAAATCAGTACTTGTGATACAGAATGGAATTCTCAGCATTTTTATTACAATAATGCATCCAGTTAGTAGTACGTTAACAATAAATAAAGTTCTACATAGATTAAAGTTATCTCAGTCAGTTTTGACAACAACATATTAGCATGTCGGTAGCAAAGCCAAAATTTAAAGTGGTTGAGGGTGTTAGAAAAGTAGATACTACTAGCATATTTACTGGCGTAAGCGATAGCAAAATGGTCGAAATATACAGAGTGTGAAAGAGCGAACAAAAAATGTTTTAAGTAGAGTTTGTAAGGAAGAGAGAAACAAAGCAGCACATAACAAAATAAATACAGTATGAAGAGAGAGAAAACGTTGTGCCTATAAATGATGTGAGTTGTAAAGACGAGATCCATTGGTTCTACTGACTATTTAATAAGTTAAAGGTTTCATGCCTAATGCATTCTTTATCGCACAGAACACGGGCTAGGTAGGGTATGGATGAGTTTTTGTACTTACTAGTGCGGGCATATAGTTTCCCATATAGGCTTCTGGTTCTGCCTGATGAGATACAAGGAGGGTAGAGTTGTGAATGAAGAGGGTAGTGGTGTGAGTTAGATAGATAGAATGGATTTAGCCCATTTTTCACATGAGTCCATGTGCCTGTCGACCAGAACATTAACAAGCTGGTTAAGTGGCACCCTGTGGCTTACCCTGCTAACAACCTTTAACATCCTACGTAATGAGATGTAGTCCTTCTTCAGTAGCCCTGGAAAAACTAAGGGGAACAATAAAGAATAATAGGCAGAATGCGAGAGTTAACGTATTGTAGGAGTAAGGGTGGGGTTGTACCAGAATGTCTTAACTTCTTGATGTAGAAGGTAAGACGGTATATTTTCTTGGAAATCGTCAAGATATGAGACGACCAATAAGGAAAGATCAGCACATAGAATGACGCCTAGGTATTTAATTTCCGACTTGGTTTCAATTTCAGTGCCATCTATATTGTACACCTCGTGAGTGCTAACGAGTTTGTTTAGGCCAGATTTATGCCTAAGGGTGAAGTTGACTGTTTGATATTTAGAGGGATTTAAGATTAGACCGTCTTCCTTGGACCACTACTGGCTGATTTCTGATAGAAAGCAAATTTAGTTTGGAGCAGTCACTTTGACATTTGACAGGCAAAGATACAGTCAGGTTGTCAACATATTTAACTAAATTAATGTCATTTGAAGATGGTAGGTCATCTAGAAAGAAAGAAAGAAAAGAGAAGTGGGGATAGTACAGCACCTTAGGGGACACCAGCTTCAGTGAGCACAGCAGAG